CACCACCCATCCACTCTAACCCCCACCCTCGCTCCAACCCTCACCCTAAATAAAATATTATTAATGGTACTTTCTTTTCATGTTATAGATAGAATACCTTTTTTTTTTCATTTCAAACAAATAAATATTTTTCTTTTCATGATATAATTTTTTTTTTCATTTTAACAAAAAGTACTTTCTTTTCATGATTAAAAAAGTATTTTCTTTCATTTCAACAAAATGAGTATTTTCTTTTCATAATGTAGAAAAAATATTTTCTTTAGTTTCTACAAAATAAGTACTTTATTTTCATGTTATAGAAAGAGTACTTTCTTTTTGAACCAAAAAAAGAGTATTTTCTTTTTAGTTATGGAACACAATGTTATTTTTGCATAAAAAAAGTAATACAACACATTAGTTCCTTTGGGTTTGTATGANGAGGAGAGCACATGAAACTTGGGGACTTGGGGGAAGGGGGGTGAGTGAAGAGAGTAGCATAAAAAAATATTTTCCTAAAAGTTATTTCTACTCTCTAACCAAACACTAGAAAATATTTTTCCAGAAAAAGTTTTTCAATGAAAATATTTTTTAGGAAAACATTTTCCATGAAAAACATTCCTTCGTACCAAACACACTCTAAGTGATTTCTTCCCACCCACGACCCACCTAAGCATTGCTGGACAAAGAAATGGATAGACCCGGGGCGAAGCTATGTTAGTCCAAGGGTGGTCAACTGACCATCCTTCGCCGAAAAATTATTCTATGTATAAGGTTAAATATTAGTTGCTATTGATTTAAAATAGACTTTGAACACCCTTGCATAACCCACTGGCAAAGAATGTTTGAACACCCTTATTGAATTTTCTGATTTCGCCACCGGATAGACCGGACACCACCGTTATATAAACCGTAGTCTTTCATCTCTCTCTATATACACACATGTAGCATCACAGTGACTTCGGGTAATTTCCCACAGAATATTAAGAAAATCCCCTAGCAAATTTATGGCAAGATTTTCAAGTGTGATGAATTTAATTAGCGTAATGGAGAGATGAACATGAATAGATCAGTTGGTTTTCGAGCATAGGGAGCAAAAAGGAACCAAAAGAGCAACTATATATAGTATTTCTACGTTGAGAATTCTATAATTATTCAAAAACAACTGATTAATTAGCTCACATAAAATCACATCATACATAAACTAGTATACATGCATGAGCCATGACATATCAAATTATTTAAACAAATACTAAATTAGATGACAAGGATAAAACCCACAGAACTCGTCTATTATTCAAGTTCTTTGGTCAGGCCAAAGGAAAGCTCCCATGGCAAACTTCCTCTTGTTTTCAGCATCTCCGATCACCGGCAATCCGTACTGTTTAAGAAGGCAATCAAGTTTCCATTCTGGCATGTTCTCGTAGTCGGATTTCTTGTACCTCGGATAATGTAGTGGCATCTGAAAATTACTAGTAATAATACTAGAGACATTAGTACTACTACTGTAACATGTTTTATGATTCTGGTTTTTGGTTTTATGGTGTAGTAGTTGAAGGTGATTATTACTACCACTTTGCTTGAAAGCAAACATTGTACTAGTATATGAAGGGGTAGGGCGAGCAGTATTTCCAGTACTCATTCTTGTTTTTTGTGTTTTGGTTTCTTTTCTTTCTTCAGTTTCTCAACATATGTAGTGTCCTTTTTATAGCCATTCTTGACTGATAAAGTTGGAGACTTTGGGTATTAAATGAATGATCTATCCATTACTTCATTAATGAGGTAGAGCTATTCCTTTTTGTTTGATTCCAATGATATTAGGCTAGCTTTTCTTTGTTAAACCATCTGTTATCTAGAATCTACTATCAATTGAGATTCTCATTGTGTATGACTCATTTAAGGGAAAGCGCTCCCTATATATCAAGAGTTTTTTTCCATTCGCATGACTTGAACCCGAGACCATTAGTTAAGGATGATGATATCTCATCCATCCCAAAACATTACTGGTGGTGATGGCATTAGGTTTGAAATATATATATTACAGAGGCCTAGTCCTCATCGCACTGAATTTATTTAAATTTATATAAAATTGATATTCTTCACAAATGAACCGTCATGGAAGTGAGAAACTTTAAAAAGTCATAGATTGATTTACCCCAAAAAAATATAAATAAATTTCTCTTCTTAAGAGACAGTTGATTTATGAATATATTTTGGCATGAACCTCGTGGATTGAGCATTTAACAACTACTTGAATGATTTGTAAACATCAGTAATGGAGGTGAAATCGTACAGATCTAATCTAGGGTTTGAGAGTGAGAGAGAAGAAGCTTTACATTATTCTAAGGTTGAAGAGAAGGAGAAAATGATCCGTTTCTCTACAAATGATAAGCTCAAAACAATATACACATCTAACCCCTGTAAATAATTACAAAAGAAAGACAAATGGGCCTGGCCCAATACAAATAATAACAAAACAAAGATATGGGCCTAACACTAATCAGGAGTGGGTGGTATATTTCTAACACCCCTCCCCTCAAGTTGGAGGGTGACAAAAACCCCAATTTGGAAAGAAAATCATGATGAGCAGCACCACCGAGAACCTTAGTGAAAATATCAGCCAGCTGAGAAGAAGAAGTATGCAGCAGATGAATAAGGCCTTCAGCAAGCTTGGCCCGCACCAAGTGGCAGTCAAGTTCAATATGCTTCGTTCGTTCATGAAAAACTGGGTTCTTAGCAATGTGGATAGCAACCTGAGAATCACAAAACAAAGAAATAGGTGAAGAAGAATGCAAACCCAAATCAGATAACAAACGAGACATCCAGGCCAGCTCAGCTATAACTTTGCTCATGGCCCTGTATTCAGCTTCAGCAGAAGACATGGAGACAACAGGCTGCTTCTTAGACCTCCAAACCACAAGACTGCCACCCAAAAACACACAATAACCACTCATAGACCTCCTAGTATCAAGACAGGCAGCCCAATCACTATCACAGTAAGTAGTTAGAGACAAATCAGAGGAATTGTTGAAAAAAATCCCACAATCAGAGGTACCTTTCAGGTATCTTAACACATGGAGTGCGGCTTGCATATGGGGAAGACAAGGGGATTGCATGAATTGACTAAGGTGTTGAACAGAAAAATAAATATCAGGCCGAGTGTGAGTAAGAAAATTCAACTTCCCAATAAGAGATCTGTAGACATCAGGCTTTGGTAAGGGATCACCTTCATGACCTTTAAGCTTGGCAGACAACTCAAGAGGACAAACAACAGGAGAAACATCTGAGCACTGAAAGTCAGCCAATAGATCAAGGATAAACTTCCTCTGATGAAGGAAAACCCCAGAATCTGAATAATAAACCTCAATGCCCAAAAAATAGTTAAGGGACCCCAAATCCTTAATCTTGAACTGAGCATGGAGAAAGGACTTAACAGCAGAAATTTCAGAAGAATTTGCTCCAGTGATCACAATGTCATCCATATAAACAGCCAATATCACAAAAGAAGCTCCATAACCCTTAATGAAGAGGGAGTAATCATTGAGAGAAGAAGAATAGCCTCTAGATGTGAGGGCCTGAGAAAGCTTAGCATATCACTGCCTTGAAGCTTATCTCAAGCCATAAATAGACTTTTGAAGCTTGCACACCAATTGGTCAGAACCAGATGAGGAGGGAACAGAATAACCATGAGGAAGCTTCATGAAAACTTCTTCATCCAAGTCCCCATGCAAAAAGGCATTATTGACATCAAGCTGAAAAATGGGCCGCTGTCTTTTAACAGCAAGAGCAACCAAAGTTTTAATGGTGGACATTTTGACAACAGGAGATAAAGTCTCTTGGAAATCAATACCCTCTACCTGAGTGTCCCCCCTAACCACCAATCTAACTTTATACCTCTCAACACTACCATCGGCCTTATATTTAACCTTGTAAACCCACTTGCACCCAATAAGTTTCTTACCAGGAGGCAAAGGCATGACATACCATGTGTCATTGGCTTCCAAAGCCTCAAATTCATGTCTCATAGCCTCCTTCCATTCAGGAAGAGGGGCAGCTTGAGAGTAAGACTGGGGCTCAAAAATAGAAAGATCAGTAGCAGCTGATAAGGAAGTAACATGCCTAAAACAAGTAGGGAAAGAACAAACATAGTTCTAGAGGTAGCTGGGGGGATTGTGAGGTCTGGAGGACTTCCTGATAGGTGAAGGAGAAGTGGAGTGAGTAGGAAAAGAAGAAGGCAAAGCAGCAGAAGAGGGAGAAGAAGGAGAAGAAGAAGAAACATTACAGGGAGGAGGTGAAGATGAAGGAGAAGATGAGGGAAAAACCTCACCACTTGTCTCACCAGAAGAAGGGAAGTAAGAAGTTGCAGAAGGAAATACATCAACAGGAGATGACTGGGAAAGAAAAACAGTAGAAAAAGTGGAGAAAGTTTGGGCAAAAGGAAATATAGTCTCATGGAAAATAACATCTTTGGACACAAAAGAAGATTTGGAAGCAAGATTATACAACTTATAGCTCTTTTTAGCAAAGGGATAGCCTAAGAAAACACAGGGGATAGAACTAGCTCCAAACTTGTCCCTATGGACCCTAGGAACAATGGCATAGCATAGACATCCAAAAGATCTCAGATGGCTATAGGAAGGAGGCTTTCCATAGAGGAGTTCAAAGGGGCTTTTGTGATGGAGAAGAGGTGAAGGGAACCTGTTGATAAGATAAGTGGCAGTGAGAATGCAATCTCCCCAGAAAGAAGTAGGCAAGCTGGATTGAAAAAGCAAAGCTCTTGCAGTTTCAAGCAAGTGTCTATATTTCCTTTCAACTACACCATTTTGTTGAGGAGTGTGTGGACAAGAAGTCTGGTGGATGATGCCTTTCTCAGTAAAGAATTTGGAACCATAGGTAGAGGAACCTAATTCTAAAGCATTGTCACTCCTAATAGTTTGAATCTTGAAAGAAAAATGGGTATCTACCATGGCTATGAAAGCCTTAAGGAGGTCAAAAGCACTACTTTTGGAACTAAGAATGTGGGTTCAGATAGCCCTAGTATAGTCATCAACTATAGTGAGGAAATACCTGGCACCACCTGATGCGGGGGAATGGTAGGGACCCCAAGTATCAACATGGATTAGTTGAAATGGGAAAGAAGATTGAATGGAACTATCAGGGAAAGATAACCTAGTTTGCTTGGCCAAGGGACAGACAGAACAAGGGAAGGATTGCTTAGGGGAAATACAAGGACTAATATCAGAAATAAGTTTCATCTTAGAAAAAGTTACATGTCCTAGTCTAAAATGCCAAAGAACATCCATTTTATTAATAGTGGAATGAGATGAATTACAAACAGGATCAACAGAAAAAACAGAATCAGGTGAACACACATCAATAACAGGAAAAGAAACAACAGAAAGAGATGAACATGGCATGGATGTTGATTGAGTAATGTCCAGCTTGTATAACCCTTTGTCCAGTTTACCAAGAACCAGTGGCTTCTTCAGAGAAGGGCCCTGTAAGACACACATAGCCTTAAAGAACTGAGCAATGCCATCAAATTGTGCCACTAACTGATAAACAGAAATAAGGTTAAACTGGAAAGTTGGAACGTAGAGGACATTATGAAGTGTGAAATTGGAAAACAAAGTCAAAGATCCAGTAAGTGTAACCTTAACTTTATATCCATTAGGAAGAGATACAAGGCATGGAATAGTGAGAGGTTGTAGATTAAAGAGAAGAGACTTTTGAGAAGTCATATGATCAGATGCCCCAGAGTCAAGAATCCAAGTTGAACTATCTACTTGTGAAAATAAAGCAGGTTTAAGTAACACACTGTGAGTAGCAATCCTACCAGCAAAATGAGTAGAGGCCATGAGAGAGTGAGAAGGATCTGGGCTAACATGAGACTGTTGCAGAAGCACCATCAGTTGAGAATATTGCTCCTTGGTCAGCCCTGGCACTCCAGAGTGCTGATCAGATGCATCATTTGAAAATACAGTACTGGGACTAGGGCTAGAATGGAATGAGAAGACATAAGAAGACTCAATAGCAGCATTGGCAGATGCTCTTCGAGGTGCAACATTCTTTGTGAATTTGAAATTGGGTGGAAAACCATGGAGCTTGTAGCACTTTTCAATGCTACGTCCAGATTTCTTGAAGTATTTGCAAATAAGAGACTTTGAAGGCTCAAAATTCACTCGAGGTGCATAAGCAGGTTTAGAAGCACCAGCTAAGGGTGGCATGTGGTCCGGTTAGGACCGTGACCGGCCCAGGACCGCAAGCCCACATGGGCGGTGGGCCTAAACGGTCCTAACCGGATAGGACCGGGACCGTGGGGTGGTGGGCCGGGTAGTGGGCCGGTCTCATAGGCGAGGCCCGCGAGATCGGGACCGTTTGGGACTGGGACCGGGACCGGCTGAGAAGTGGGCCGGTTCAAGCGGTCCTAAACGGTTCTATCCGGGCCCAACGGATAATTTTTTTTAAAAAAAAAAATTTGACCGTTTGGCCATTTAAAAACTAGCTGTTTGGTCTGCCAAAATAGCCGTTGGCTATTTGCAAAATAGCCATTTAACCCCCCAAATTTTGTTTTAACCCCAAAATATTTATAATTACACTTTTTTCCTATTTTCAACTATAAATACCCCATCATTCTTTCATNGATATTTGTAGATATTTTTGCATTAGTGATAAAATAATGTCAGTTTCAATGGATAATACTACTAGTAATACAAATGTTGTAGCCTTGCTTACCACTATACTAAGTC